AGTTTAAACAGTGAATAGGTAAATAAATAATAGAAATCTGTATTAATGTTTTTGCCAGTGTCAATAATGGTGCACACTAACCTTATAAGGACACTCACAGTTCCGGTTTGTTCTCCCGTAATACATGAGATGTGATTTTTTGATGATGCGTACAATCAGTTCGTGTTGGACGGCGCCTCTGGCGATGCCACGGCAACCGTACAGGTAGGACTCACGCAACTCGGATATGGTCACAGCAGGACATCGTCCTGTTAACACACACAGCCAATCCAGCCAACAAGAACGACATGAATCCACTGTTTGAACCGATTTGTCTTAACTCACTTTATATTTTATAATTCTATAATTTACTATTACAATCTTCTGTCATATATCCCCTGTACTAGCAGTCGATGATAACGTTAAAAGTGGCAATCACACTGTTTTTTTCTACTCTTATATTTGTGTGATGTCATTGAGAGACAGACACCACACCCACCTGCTCTCTGGGGACAGGCAATGAGAAGAAAGGCTTCCAGATAAATGGTAAAAATAAGAAGTCAGCGGGTTTGTTTGAAGGAATGTTTTTTTAATGACACCATAGATACCTTCCTCTGGCTCTTCTTCTGCTTCCTGACCCGCTGTCTCTTTATCAGTGGCTTCCATCCACACCTCCCCGCTGTAGTCCACATTGTTCCACAGAGGGAGAAAGACGGTCCTGCTGGCTCTCAGAGGAACCAAAGGACCTGCTGGATAAACAACATCAGCAAATCAGAAGCTTTAAAATTTTAGAAGCAAGCCTTTTAATTTACAGCCCTCCCTGAATGTTTAAAGTCACTCGCTGTTTAGTTCAGCTTGGACATCATGTCCATCACTATCCAGTTCTTTTCTTCACTACTCATGTAAAGGATGATTCGATCCATCTCAGTCTGATAGCCAGTGACTGGCGGCTGCCATTGCAAGACGTTCTTTAGGGTCAAAAACACCAGAAAACTCTAAAACTAAATGGCCTGTATTTGTATAGCGCTTTACACATCCAGTCATCCACCCATTCACACACACATTCACACACTGGTGATGGTAAGCTAGTAAACTAGTTAGAAAGAACAGGTTTGTCACACTAGTGCACTTTGAGGAGGCCGATGGTTGTGAGCAGAATAACATTTGTGAAGAAGTGAAACAGATCATTTTTTGTGTGGTTCGCATGCTTCATATGTGCTACTAGAAGAGCCATCGTGTCAACCTTCTCTTAACTAAGAAGCGCTGCAGAAATCAAACCTTGATCAAAATGAAAGCGGTGAAGTTGATTTGTAACAAAACAAAAACAGATCAGCAGTGAAAAGGAATATAAAAAAACATTTCATATTTTCATAATTGTTTAAGTCATTTCCAACCTGAAATCTGAAAAATCTGAGAGTCAGAATCTCCTCGTTTCTAGACTCTTACCTTCAGTTTTTGAGGATCCAAACCAGGGCAAAGAGTCCCAGTCCACATCCGACCATCTGACCCCGACTTCTTCATCCTCGTCCATCACCTCCAGGCTCACCAGCCTGTAGCTGCAGGAGCACACACAACTCAGCTGGTCTGACTGCATCACAGCTCCATCTTCTCTATTGTCCTCACTCACCTGGCTCCTTCCCCAAAGGCCCCGGAGCACTCTGGGAGCTGTGCGGTAATGGCAGTGCTGAAGGTGGCGTGTCTCACTGCAAGCCCAGGCCGCAGGATGTTCCTCTCCACCAGCCGGTTCAGACCAGGATCCATAGTCACCTGAACCCGGCAGTCCCCATCACTCAATGTGGCGTCGTACAAGTCGTCACCTGAAGACATCAAACTGGTAAAACCCCAAAGAAAACCAGTATCGTATCGTCAGATTGAAATATATCAAACAACCAGTTAAAACCGGGTCCGACCTTTGAGGACGGCCTGGGGGAAGTAGACGGGGAAGCCCTGGTCCCTGGTATAGCGCTGTAAGTCCACCACATAGAGGAACTCCCTGCAGACAACCGAAGAGGATGGAGATGCCTGCAAGGCAAAAAAAAAAAAGTGTTAAAAATGTAATACACTCTTCTTTTACGTCTTAGCATAGCTCCTGCTACACCTGTAGACGTTCATATTAATCACAACCAACTATGGGCTCAGTCTTTGTACTTGCTGCTCCAAAAGCTCAGTTTATCACTGTTTTTTCTAGTCTTGGATCTGTATGACATCACATAGAGGACAGAAGGGGCAGCCAATGAGAAGAAAGTTGTCTTAAAGGAGGAGGAGCAGGGGGAAGCTTAAAGGGCCAAAATAAAATAAAATAATTTTAAACTGTCATTCAGGTAAAACTGATGAAAGTTTTAGTGAATACAAAGTGGATAAAACATTTTGGAGCTGGAATTGAGCAGAATCGTTTCTACTTTAAGTCTGAGTGATAAGTGGTCTTAAAAACAAAATACAACACGTACAACATAAAAACAGATTAATGTTTAAAGGATGAAAACAGGTTATTCTCTAAATCCGTCATTTCGCTGTCAAAAATGTACTGACGCCTTCAGGCAGAGGTGCGTCACACAAACCAAATCCAATTTTAAAAACGTACTAATCAATGATTATCTTATTCCGCGCCTTCAAATGAACAAACCCAAAACACATCTGCCTATTTTTCTAACTACTTATGATCCTAATTTGATTTCGGCACAACATTCAGTCACCAGACGGGTTGCTGTTTCTTTTTAGAAAGTGCGTTTCAAGCAGCTCATCCACAATCTGACATTTAAGCATGTTTCTTACAGGCTAAAAGCTAACGGATACAAGACAGTTTGGACATGTTTCTACGTCTCTATTATGTAATATTAATTTAGTATTCGGTCGGTAAACATAGCGGATCCTTTTCTATATCACATATGTTTTTTTTAATGTGAGAATCATTCAGCAGCGCTAACACATCATACTGACTGCGCTGGTCAAGATAAAGCTGAAGGTTTTTGAATGGAGTCTGGTGGAGGATGGGGTGGCGGCAAAAAGGCGGGGGATTTAGCAGCTGTAGGAACCGGTTAATCAATCAGACCGATCAAGATCGTCCTGGCGGCTGTAAGTAGAGGAAGCACACCTTGTTAGTACCGGGTCTGGACCGAGCCAGGGTTCTCTGGAAGAGGCAGCCCGCGGCTGCCATGTTGAAGAAGCCCAAACAATAACAGTGCGGTGCATTGTGGGAGGAGGGAGGAGACGCAGATTTTCTTGTTTAGTATTTATGACTTAAAATACTAATAGAACAAAATAGGATTACTTGTTAAATTAGTGTTAAAAATCTAAATGTTTAGACAAACCTAAAGAAAACTTCTAAAAACGTCTTTTAAAATTATATTTGGAGCTTTCAAACTTGACCTTTGACCTCATGTAACCGTGTTTCTGCGTTGTGTCTGACAAAGAAAGGTAAAAGAAAAACCTCCAAGTAAACACGTGCTCGCTCCAGCTCCTCTCCCACAGGGGAATTGTAGAAAAGGCTCTGCGTTTATATTTCCATTAAACATAAAGTACGAAGTTACATGGAACATTTTTGACATAAGAAAAAAAACACCAGCAAAAAATCCGACATACCTGACAAAGAAAGGTAAAAGAAAGAAAGACCTGCGAGTAAATAACTTGCTCGCTCCAGCTCCTACAACCAAATACAAACAGTGGGGGACAGGGTTTCGCTCAACCCATCACAACTTCCAAGCTAGCCATAATTATAAATTCGTGCTAGCATTAATGGCGCCACATTTGTGGCACACACATACTACACATTTATAGCGTCTAACAAAACACAGGCATAATGATGACAATAATTGAACTAAAATCGCAATCAGAAACATCAGGGTGGCTAAATATGAATTACATGAGTGTTGCACAGGGTACAGGGAAACGACACCCACCTCCCACACAGGGGAATTGTAGAAAATGGGAGAGGCCAAAGGGGTACACTGTATTTACAGGGTTGCACCAAGGAAGAACAATGAGGAGGGGCTCTAACCATAATGAATATAAATACAGGCTTGAAGGTCCTAACAGTCAGGTATAAAGAACACATTTTGTGAAATTATAACAATATGTACTCTATGACTGGGTTACACTCACGGAGTTTACTTTATTAATTACATATAATATATACGGGCATCTTTGAGTAACAGGCGTTTTTTGCAGGCACAGGACTTTACAGATGTTCAGACAGTGACCTTGTTCTGAGCAGCTGGTTTATTACAGCGTTTATCAAGGACCTTCATCTGGTCCCTGAAGTATTCAGGCTGCTGCAGGTGGCACAGGTGAGCAGTGAAAGTAAGCTTAGGTTAGATGAAGCTCGAAAGCTGTGTTTTTACAAAGAGCCTGAACATGGCTTTTATTTCAGAGGACAAACAGAAAACAAAAGGAGGAAATAAACAAAAGCAGAGCAACAGGTTCTCAGCTAATAAAAACCTTTACAGCAGCCACAAAATAGTCGAACATCTGGGGTTAGTTTTCAGTTCCTAAACAGACGTTTGTGACCGTTTGGATGTGGTACTTCCAGCCACTAAGCTCTGCGCGTGAAGTGCTGCGAGTCTCTGAACTCCAGGTAGAGGCTGAAGAGCAGGTGCAGGGACTGGACGCGGCTGCCGTAGACGGGGATGTCGAGCAGGCTGCACACAATGTCCGCATACTGCGGCAGGTCACAGTTCAGGCGGGCGGACGGCAGCTGCAGGCGGTCCAGCAGCTCCTCGAGCTCGGTTGGCCACTCCTGCATCAGGCTGTCGATGTCAGGCATCGGTCTGCTGTACTGGACGCTCGCTGGCGGCTTGGAGCGGTGCAGCGCGCTGATGCTCTCCACCCAGCTGTCCACCGCCCGCGGGTTGCTCTGAGGGTTGGCGATGCTCGTCACCTTCTTCACCTGCAGGAAAGGAAACAATGAGGAGTGACTCTGACTTTAATGCTGAGTGTATGTGCGTACAGATGTGTGTGTGTGTGTACAGGTGTGTGTGTGTGTACAGGTGTGTGTGTGTATGTGTGCGTACAGGTGTGTGTGTACCTCGGTGGCGCCGTGTTGCTTGGTCTCCTCCGACAGAAACAGCGACAGCACCGTCGGGTCCGACTGCTTCACGCTGGGCTCATCCAGAACCAGCAGCCCCAGGTTGTCCGGTTTGCCATCGGGCCTCGGCACCTGTGGGATTACAACATGAGGTCACTCTGAGGTCAGAGGTCGCGCTTTCTATGCTATCAGGTGCGATTGTGTTCGAACCTTGAGGAAGGCGTCGATGTCTCCCACTGCAGGGATGAAGTCCGGGATAAACGGCTTCAGGTTGTGCTCCAGCTCAACGGACTCGGGGGTGTATCTGAGACAAACACAAAACACGGAAACTCCAGATGTGTGCGTGACAACTACGTGATTTACTGCAGGGTCTTTAACAAATAAAGTGCTTTGAGGTGACTGTTGTTGTGATTCGGTGCTTTATCAATAAACTTTGATAAGGTTTTTTTTATTTTTAGCATAAACAAGCACCAGATGGTGTTAAAAACACGTGAGTTGGCACATGTGTGTCTCTGCTCACCGTGTGATGTACTGGAACAGCTCTTTGATGTCGGTGCTGACGGGCAGGTTGGCGTAGTCGGCGGGATCATACAGGCCCTCCGGCGCCTTGTGGAGCTTGCTGTCCTCCTCCGATTCGTCATCTTCGGAGTCCTCATCGTCATCATCATCTTCTTCGTCATCATCCTCTTCTTCCTCTTCTGGCCGCCCCCCTCCCGGCTCCTTCCCCCTCCCATGGTCCTCGTCAAACTCGTCGCTGCTGCTGTGGGCCGACATCAGGCTGTGAACCCTCCTGCTGCTCCTCCTGAACTCCACCTGAAAGACGAAGAAACAAAACCAGGTCATGTGACCTGAGACCAACCTGGAGCATGGCAGGACTCAGCTTACAGTTCAACTCTGATGGAAGGAAACTTTATTTAGTGTTTTAATAAAAACTGGGGCTCTAAAACATGATGCTCACTTAACATTACCAGATTCACTCTTCTGTCATTTCTACACAGTTTCTACACAGACGAGTTTGTGACTGGAAACACTTTGAGCTTTAAATAATGAAGAAACACGAGCAGGCGTCACGATCACCGGTTAAACCGGAGCTCTCCGCAAGGACAGGAGGAGATTACCTGGGGCTGGCTGCGGGAAGTCGGGCTGTACACGCTCGGTACCTCCTCGGCGTCCGCCACATCCAGGCTCTCGTCGTACGGCTGGTTCTTCAGCAGGCGGCCTCCTCTGTCCCGGTCAGCCCGCTCCATCGGAGCCCGGCGGGTCAGCTGCGGGCGGACACAGTAAAACCTCCATCAGAAACAACGGTTTACAGTAGCATTAGCCACCTAGCAGCAGACAGCTAACAAGAAGCCGACACCGGCGGTTTTAAGCCGATTAACCCACCTGAGACAGCACACACTCGGCATGCAGAGACAAACGACCTGCCGGCAGAGCTAAACTCAAATCTGATAAATATGTTTTAAATGTCTTACTTGTCGTCTGAGTTCAAGCCAAACTCGCTTTTCGGCGTCAAAATGGCCTTTGTGGAATGTTACGTATCCTGGCAACGGGACGGGCAGGGCATCTTGGGTAGTGTAGTTAGAATCTAATGAGAGCAGAAGCTCCAGCTCCAAGGCATATTATATTATATTATATTATATTATATTATATTATATTATATTATATTATATTATATTATATAGAATAAAAAATAAGTGCTTTAAAGTAACTGGAAGAAAATGAAACAGTGGTGCATTTATTATTGGAGTGAAGTGAATACAGAAGAGTCAGTTCTATGTTTTTTGGAATCTCATAATCTCGCAACTCCTCTTGACTGCTGAATGGAAATCAAACAGATGGATGGCTGAGGCTCCTCTAAATCTGGAGAGTGAAAGACTGAAATAAAAATAAATAAATAAACATGTTAACAAAACTATTTTAAAACCACAAAAATCAAATCTATTTAAAAAGAAAAACTATTGAGGCTCATTGTCATCAATATATTTCTGATGAACACGCAGGGAAAGGTTTCCTGAAGTGTGAAGTGACGATATTTATTCATCTGTTCTCGATAACAAAGAGTTTACACAAACAAGGCCGTCCACAGCTGTTTGTGGGGCGCCGACTCTGACACCGACAAACTAACATGGGGAGAACATGCAAACTCCACACAGAAAGATCCCGGCCTGATGGTGGAATTGAACTCAGAACCTTCTAACCACCGTGTTGCCAAAAACCCCTAAACAACAAAATTAAATTGAAAATATAAAGCAGCAAAAACGATTAGAAGGATAAACTTAAACTAAGAAAAGGAGTAGGAGTTAAATCAGTTAAGATCAACATTGGTCCACTAAACAGGCCTCACAAGAGTGTTTCAGTCATTTCTTTATCAAGCTGATAAAATTTAGGTTGAAAAAAATGAGCTAATATTTGGCAGAAAAAAGAAAACAAGGCTGGTTATCTGATTTCCATAATTGATTTGATTCAATCAATTTTGACTCGGACAGAAATATTATAATTTGGATCGTTTATCTGTACATATCCATATTTTTATATCTGTGTATAAAATAAAACCTGACACTATTGAGACTTCACCACAGGTGTAAACATCACAGCAGATGCCTTTGTGTCAAAGTTACGCTGGGCATACACGGTGCAATTTATGGCCCATTTTGAGACGAGATCGACTCTTTATAAATGTGACTTTTCCTTTTGTTTTACATAGTGCTGTCAGCATCAACTCGCTAACCGAGATTTGGGGAGTTTCGCCTTAATCGTGTGTCATGCATCATGTAGTATACATGGGGTAATGAGACGCGATTAACACCTCATGACCAGCTCCCGATCAGCAATTGTACGGTCACATGGTTGCCACTTGTGAGGGTATCACACTATAGATGCGATGCAACGAGCCAATTTAACGCATCTCACACTCCGCGTGTGCAAATACAGAAACAGAAGTGAAAAAGATGAACTAGTAGAACTTTGGCAAGCCCATCCGAGCCTTTTTGATTTGGCCTTACAAAATTATCATCGCAACATCCGCGAAAGAAGTTGGATGGACATTTCTGCTCAACTGCAGCTGTAAGTCAGTGTTTTTCATTAGCATTTTAGTTGATGTTGTTGTTGGTGTGTGTCTGTGTGAGTGAAAGACAGAGATGGAGAGAGAGGAAGAGCAAGAGACAGATTTTGTGTTATATCTTAGCTATATAATATAAGCTTTGGTAACACTTCATGTTACCAAAGCTAAAATTTGGATGCACAGTGTGAGCACTCAGGTCGCAGAGCTGAGCATTAGGGTTTACAAACATAGGGTTTCTCTCCAGTGTGAACACGGAGATGCTTTTTCAGTGTACTCGAAACTGCGAAGGCTGCGACACACTCTTCACAGCTGTAGGGTTTCTCTCCTGTGTGGATGCGCTGGTGGATTTGTAGCGCCTAAAGCGTTGAAAGCTGCTCCGCACTCGTCACAGCTGTGCGGTCTCTCTCCGGTGTGAATTCTATGGTGAAGCTTTAAATTGTGTTTGGATTTATAGCTCTTGTTGCAGTCCTGGCACTGGTGCACAGTGCGTCCAGTCTTCTTCTGTTTCTGAATAAACAGCAGACAGAAAGAGAGAGCGTTGACGTTAGACTCCACGAAGGAACAAAAAAATAAAACACAAGCACTCAGAGAGATCTATACTAAAACTGATGTTTTATTGTTTTTATTAAACATTAATCTAATATATCAATCTTTGTGTGTCAGTGTGAAGTTGTATGCTGTATTGACATTTCTTAAATACCTCTAACCAAGAAAGAGATCATTATGAATATTATATTATTAAATCAAGTTTGGAGCTGATCCTTCATCTTAATCAGTGTGACGCTGACCTTTGACCCAGAAGATCATATAGTTTTTTATCTTTACACTTATGACTGGAACATGAAAAAATTTGCCATTTGTTAATCTTGGCAATGAGGGAAATGATGCCCACAATAACAACAACATGCTCCCCGAGTCTGACAAGAAGCCATAAAGCGAGCAGCAGGTACACGCTCGCTTTGCTGATCTCCTAATTGTGGTCATAAATATTTTGCGTAGGTGTGAACTGAGTTTTGTAGCCTTGTAAACCAAAATATCTGAAATTTTTAGGTTTGTGCATTTATACATGAGAATTATGAGTGTGCAAAAAAGATTTGTGTAATAAATTATTTTTGTTAAGTTCTACTTACCGATACAAAGCAAGAAACTACATGTAAAACTGTGCTCAAGTTTCCTGGCTGTGTTGGAGTTTCAACTTGCAAGCACAAATTTTGACCCAATTTTTATTCCTTTCAGCTATTTGGTCAATGTCATGTCAATCACAAGTTTAAATATCCAGTCTGCGTGCCGGAGGGGTGCTTTCAAAAGGAGCTCAGTAAAGCACCCCTCCAACTGATTGACATGACTTTGACCAATCACTTTGCAAAAACAAGTGGTTTTTTGCTTTGTACCCTTAACCAGACCTTAGCAATTTTTTTTTAAAGTAACTTGTGTAAATATCTTTTACAAACACAAATTCTCATCTGTAGATGCACAAACATTTTCTGATATTTTATGTTTACAAGGGTACAAAACTCACAACTGCGCAAAATATTTATGACCACAATTAGACCCTGCTTGTGTTTGTGTTGCATACAAATGATATCACGGGATGTTCTGCTGCATTGCTATAACGACAATTAGGTGTTACTCGAGTGTAATAGAGATTGTGTCCAAATTCATGGGCTGCATCCTCCTGAGGACCCAGCCATTGCGGTCTACGTGGGCCGGGTCCTCAGAAGGTCGGGTAGGCCGGAAGTAAACGGCTGGGGAAATTGGACGGTCTAGCCTTCTGATTAGCGTCACCGCTGTCTCGGTGGAGTATAATAAACTCGGCCGTCTGCTCCTTGCTATCTAAAATATAACAGGACACTGGCGTAAATTCTCGACCATCTCACTCTTCTGTTTAATCGGTTTTCTGTTTGACGCCGCGCCATGAATTCTGGGATATGGTAGGCCATGAAGGACACACCCTTCAAATTCAGGGAAAAGGAGCACGCATTTGTCGGCTGCATTCGGAGGAGTCTACGAATTTGGACAGCCTTCGGCGTGTCGCTATGACGTAATCGGTCTACAAATGCGTCCTCAGGAGGATGCAGCCCATGAATTTGGACACGACCAAAGATTGAAAATGTGACGTCATTCCAGAGTAAAACCACAAAGGATTGTGGGTACGAGTGGCAAGCGGTACTAGCGCATGTAGGCTTTCACATGAAAACAGTCACACAGCGATAAAAAGAAACACAAAGAATGGCAAGAAGCTGTTGTATTATTAACTGCAATAGTCGCATGACAGCCACGGGAAGCCGACGGGTAAAGAGATTTTTTATCAGATTCCGTCGTGGAAGAGAAATTGTTCAAGCCATGTTTCCGAAATAACAAAGAGCCGACGGATGGCCTGGATTGCAGCCATTCAAAGACCAAATATAACGTCTCAGAACACTCCAGCTCACATGTTAGTCTGCTCCAAGCATTTCCACAAAGGTAAGTCTTCTGTTGTAGTTAATACATATTTTATCATAACATAATTGTTGATGTAGGTTACAAATAAGTCTTAATTTGAATTGAATTCGTTGCGCTGTGCTGCTTTGTTCACTGTGGCTTTGCGGGCTAAGGTTTGTTGTGTTTTGTAGGAAAACCAGCCTACAAAATGCTGGAATGCGATCCAGACTGGGCCCCCTCTATCAACCTGGGTCATACTGAGTTTAAAGCTGCTACCACGGGGAGATTTGATCGGTTAAGAGAGAGAGCGATATCAAAACAGCCACAAAAGTCCCGCATATATGTGCCCAAGTGTTGTACTGAAGCAATCAAGTGATGAATAACTGTTTTCCAGTATGTTGTTTTGCAATGTTTTTTGGTTGCATTGTTGATTTGTTTTTCACCGAAGCAGCTGATAAAGCAATAATACAGCATGATGGAATATAATTTTGCCTCTTTCTTGTAAGATTCTATGATAGAATGAAACAATAATGCCAGTTATAAATAAACACAATACATTGAATGAATTACAAAACTCTCATTCTATTTCTATTAGATCTGAAAATGTTGTGTAACACTTAGGGCTGGGCGATATGACCCAAAATTCATATCTCGATATTTTTTACCTGGACGGCGATATAAGATATATATCTCGATTTTTTTTTTTTAAAAGCCATAAAGTAAGAACAAAAAGAGAGTTCTTAGTCCAAGCTGTGTCCCAGATGTCACACAGGCATTTCTATTAACATAGAGCATAGATGTACATAAGATTTACTCAAAAATAAATTATGAGCATTTATTAAATAATAATGCTCCATAAATAAAAGAAAACAATGTTGTTTTTGTGCATAACAAAAAGCTCACAATTGTGCAGTCAAAATGCAAACTAAAAGACGCTGAGCATAATAACAAAGACAGATTTCACAGCTGCTCTGTTCCCAACTTCTACTGTGTGACTGACAGCACTGAGTTTGAAATCCTCTTTGTAACCACGTCTCTTAACAGGTGCCATTTATAGTCCTTATACACAGTAGGCTA